AGTTTTCAAATTTATTATTCATTTGTTGATTATATTTTTAAGTTATTATTTAAACTCAAGCTCAAACTTGTTTGTTTATTAAGTTTGAGTCGAGTAGTTTAATTTATTTATAATTTAGGTGTCCACACTAATTAAATGCTTATTTTTCAAAAAATTTTCTTATTTTTACCGCATTATTATTATTATTATTATTATTGATAAATTACTAATACATTAAAAAGTTTACCATTAGGTATAGTGGATGCTGCCCTACAGTCCACCAAAACGAATTGCCATCATTCTCAGGGGATCAGATCCGCTGTCAATAGAAGCTTCCTCCCTTTTCTTAGGTAGAAGGAAAAGTTCATTTGATTCTTGCTTCAATAACGGATTTGCATTTTGGTATGACCTAACTTCAAACTTCAAGTTTGCCAACTCCACCAAAGCAGCTTGGTGGTTGCATGTTTTTTTGAAGTTGATGGTTTCTTCATTTGATCTGAAAATCAAATTTTCAGTTGTTAATTTTAACAATTTTAACTTATTAATTATTGTTTTTATATAAAAAAAAAAACTTCAAGTACGCACTTTTCTGAATAAAAAAATCTGTAAGTACGGTAAAGTACAATTTAATCTTTATATATCCTGACACTTCCGAGTTTTGCCCGTACCTATGTTCGTTTTATGATTCTAATTTGGTTAAATTTTTCATTTTGATCTCTCAACTATTATATAAATTTTTGATTGAGTCTCTTAACTTAAAAAGTTTCTGATTTGGTCCTTATGGTTTATCATTTTGACCCCAACTTGATCTCTCTGTTAAAATTCTACCTACATGTCCCATTGCTTGACAGGGAGAAACATTACATGTAAAATTATTTCGACACATAGGATCTATAGCGTGGCAAGAACAATGACATGGCAAAAATTTTTTTTTTTAATTCCTTTTTCTTTTTTTCCTTTCTTCCTTTGTTTTTCCTTTTTCCCTTTCTTCTTCCTCTTCCTTTCCTTTTGCCTTCTGCAAACCGTAAAACCTTATAAACCTAGCATGCCTATGTTCTTTTGAACTCAGCATGTCTAGGTTTGAAAAGAACCCAACACACCTAGGTTAGAAAAGAACCCAACACACCTAGGTTCGGGAAGAACCCAGATCTAAGTTGCACTTTTCATTCTAAATTCAAATTAAAGTAAAAAAAATAAAATACATATCCAACTTTATTTGATTTCAAAATTTAATGCTTTCCAACTTTACAAAATCAAATAAGCACGCTTGTGTTCTTTTGAACCTAGTATGCTTGGGTTTTTGAACCCAGCACACTTGGGTTGAGGAAGAACCTAGATCTGGGTTGCACTTTTCATTTTAATTCAAATTAAAGTAAAAAAAAAGTCAAACAAATACCCAAATTTATTTGATTCCAAAATTTAATGCTTTCTAATTATGTGAAATCAAATAAATACCCAAAATAAATACCCATATCTGCGATTCCAATTCTTATCATTCAAATTTTAATGCTTTCATATCCAAAATTGTAACAATCAAGATTTGAAAAATAAAACCCAAATACAAATGTGGGTGTAGAAGGAACTTAGATTTGGATTTCCTCTTAAATTTGGATTTCCTTGCACCCAAAATCGACCTTCTCCTTCGCATGAGATTCACATAACAAAGGGAACCCAGATCTTGGATTCCCTTATTGTGTAAAGTTAGCATGACAAAAGGAACACAGATTTGGATCTCCTCCTTGCACCACCAAGCCTCACTCAAAGAAGGGACCTAACCAGCACACAAGCTTCCCTAGTCAGCCAAGCTTGTTTGCCATGGAGAAGAGACAAGGAGGAGATA